GACAGTTTTCGAGAGACACGCACTGGGTGAAATTGCGACAGAAAGGAGCACGTAAGACGTGGAGAGGGATGAGGGGTCGAGAGTGAGCCGATGAAGGATGAGAGGGGAGGGGGAGGGGGGCGTGATGGAGGCCGGGGACCAAGTGGGGTCGGTGGCGTGGCGCGCGGGGCTCGGGTTTGAAGGCTTAGCAAAGAGAAGTCTTCTCCACACATTTGCATATCCAAAAGCCGCGCTGGCTGGGGCCACGGCTGGGGCACGACTGGGGCCACGGCTGGGGCCACAACGAACAGAGGGGCCTGCCCAGCGTTTTCGGAGAGCCTCTGTCTCTCTCGCACCCATAAGGACCACCCCGTGTGGGCGAGAGAGACAGTGAGGAAGCCTGTGCGTGCCCTGGCTTGTGCTCTGGCTTGTGCCCTGGCTTGTGCCCTGGCTTGTGCCCTGGCTTGTGCCCTGGCTTGTGCCCTGGCTTGTGCCCTGGCCTGGTCCGGGTCGGTCGCACTGGAACAAGCATGCCGCTCTAGGTGCAAAAGCCAGGCGACGTGACCACTTGGATCCACGTCTAACCAAAATCGTTTAATCGTGGTTTGGGCTAGGTCAGCGGTTTTCAACCTTTTTCGGCTCGCGACCCCAAATTTGTAGCCAAATATTTCCGCGACCCCCAGGAAAAAATTTCGCAACCCAACGGGCTGACTTTAAGCAGCCTCTGCGTCTGATCCGAGGCGGGCCTTCGTACTTTCTCAACGGTCAATTGGTCTTTGGACCTTCCTTTAGCATGCGTTTGTTACGGAGTGCGATTATCTGCATTAGTTTGGGAGCAGTATTGGCTCAAAGTTGAACAAAACGGTCAAAAATGCCTTTGAAAAATCGTGTTTTGGGCCGACTTTAAGCAGCCACTGCGTCTGATCCGAGGCGGTATTTCGTACTCCCTCAACGGGCATTTGGTATTTGGATCTTCCTTTAGCATGCCTTTGTTGCGGAGAGTGATTATCTGCCTTAGTTTGGGAGCAGTAGTGGCTCAAAATTGATCAAAACGGTCAAAAATGCCTTTAAAGTCGGTTTTGATCAACTTTGAGACAATACTGCACCCAAACTAAGGCAGATAATCGCACTCCGTAACAAAGGCATGCTAAAGGAAGGTCCAAAGACCAAATGCCCGTTGAGAAGGTACGAAGGCCCGCCTCGGATCAGACGCAGTGGCTGCTTAAAATTGGCCCAAAACACGATTTTTCGAAGGCATTTTTGACTGCTTTGATCAACTTTGAGCCAATACTGCTCCCAAACTAAGGCGCATAATCGCACTCCGTAACAAAGGCATGCTAAAGGAAGGTCCAAAGACTAATTGACCGTTGAGAAAGTACAAAGGCCCGCCTGGGATCGGACGCAGTGGCTGCTTAAAGTCGGCCCAAAACACGACTTTTGAAGCAGTTTCCGCGAATTAATGTTTAATTATTTGATAGGTTCAGGCAGCCACTGCGTTCAAACCATGGCGCGAAATCGTACTCCCTCAACGGCTGGTTGGTCTTTGAACCTTCCTTTAGCACGCCTTTGTTCCCGCCTTAGTTTGGGAGCAGTGCTGCCGAAAAATTAACGAAAAAAAATAACCTTTTGATAAGGACTTTATTTTTTTATGGCATCGGGTTGCCCTGCAGGTGCCGCCTTTGACCTTCTGGCTTACTCATCGCCCCGCAGCTTTTTGTTTTCAATTGAGGTGGTGCGCGCGGTGGGGTGTGCGGCGGGGTGCGGCGGGGTGGGGCGGGGTGGGGTGGGGCGCGGTGGGGTGGTGAGGGGCGGGGCTGCGCGTGTTCGCGCGATAAAATACTGGCGCCACTGCCAAGCGGCAGGGAGAAATCCCCTAAAGGTTTTCCCAAAGAGATGAGGGGATCCGCGGCCCGCAAAAACACACACACACGTGCACCAACACACACACTACAGCACACACACTCACACTCACACACGTCGGCAGCTCATTCCCACGCCCTTTTTTAACGACCGCGGCTATTCGCGTTCTAACGGCTCGGTACGGGCGGCACCCGTTAGCAAACCTGGCCGTTGGCGCGTTTCAAAGAAGTAATTTGTCGTTTTGCGTGGCTGTTGCTGGACCGCAGTGCAACAGCGTGGAACGGAGTGTCCAGCCGCTGTGTCCAGCCGCTGCAGCCGCGCCTGCCGATCGATTCGAGAGAGTCGCTCTGTCTCTGTCGCACTCACGGTGCTCTCCATGAGGGAGCGAGGGAGACAGAGAGACGATGTGACACTGTACAGTGTGACAGGGCCACTCTTGGCATGGACTGACCACACGGGGGCTTATTTACAAGGTAGGCAAAAGGATAAAACTGCGTGGCAACCGGGACAGCTGCGGGGGGCGGGGAGGGGAGGGGAGGGGCGGGGCGGGGGCGGGGGCTCGCTCTGGAGGGGGGAACCATTTGTCAACGTCACATGAAATCCATTCCTGGACCGCGCGCCGAGTCTGTGCCGCTGCCGCCGTGGGGGCCGCTGTGTCTATCCAGCTCTCTCTCTCTCTCTCTCTCTCTCTCTCTCTCTCTCTCTCTCTCTCTCTCTCTCTCTCTCTCTCTCTCTCTCTCTCTCTCTCACTCGCTCCGCCACGCCCGTCCGGCTGTCTCTCTGCATTTCATCATGGCCGTGGCCGGGGCAGCAGTCGCTCGTTTCCAAATAAGAGATTTTCGGGCGATGATCCTTCTCCGCCCTTATTGATCTGTGCGAGCGAAGGGAGGCGAAGGGAAGGAAGGTCGCCCTTTTTGTGAGCGTCTTGGTGGGCCGGCCCGGGCCCCACGGCCTATAGGGCTCCACGGCGGGCCCCGGGCTCGGCCCTCCAGGCCTGTCTAACGCTGTTGGCCCACCGCGACGACCGTACAGGCTTACAGGCTACAAACGGCCTCGGCGCTTGTGTGTGTGTGTGTGTGTTGTGTGTGTGTGTGTGTGTGTGAGTGAGTGTGTGTGTGTGTGTGCGAGTGTGGGTGAAGGAAGAGTAAAGGGTTTACTTCTCTCCGTGCAACTGAGCAGTCAGCTAAAGCCGCGGACGCAAAGGGAACGACGAGGCAGGGAAAGGAACGAGGAGGACGAACGAAAAAAAAAGGACGTGGCATTTTTGGGCCGGTATTTGAACCTCGGACACCTTCGCCAACGTGCTGTAATTGGCGATGACAGAGGTGGCCGAGGCACGGTAGGGCGGGCAGTGGCACTCATCCTCTCTGTCCAAAGGCCCCGGCCTGCCGAGCGCGATTCGCGGCCCCGTCTCGCTCGCACCCCTGCGGGACGCCCCGTGAGTGCGACGGAGACAGGAAGGGACTTTTCGGAATCGGTCGGAGGAAGACAAACAAGGAGTGGTGCGCGACGCGGCCGTCCGATCCGGCATCGGGCCGGGCCGGGCTGGGCCGTGGTCCCGGACCCGCCGCTCTCAGGGTGCAGCCAATCTTGCGGGGACCCCTCCCTACCCCTCCCCCGCCGACAAGACAGCCAGCCAGGCAGCAGGCAGGCAGCCGTTGTGGCGGTAATATTGAGGCTGTTATTTCCCGGAGAGGCCAGCACAGCCAGCGCACCGTCCTGCAGAGGTATACGCGGACAATTATACATAAACAGAGCGAGAGGTTAGAGGAGCCGGCCGGTGCGACCGAGCTGGCAGACCGAGCCGGGCGGGCAGCCACTGGCTGGGCCACTGGCTGGGCCACTGGCTGGGCCAGCCTCACGCCTCCACCGATATTAAAGAATAATACCGCTGGGTTGGCTAGGCTAGGCGTGGCGCGGCTCGGCCGCGGAGTTGGCAACAACTTGCCGCCCAAATCGAAAACTGATAAGTATCTGTGCGTTCGCGCGGCACAGAGGACGCGCTACGCGTCCGCCCTGCTTTACAGTGGTGGACCTGAGAGGCAAGCGCGCGCCAAAATAAAAAAAAAATAAAAATGGCGGGAAAGGGTTGGCGAGGCGCGCGCGCGCCTTTTGTCCGTTCCGTTTGATAAAAATCACGTAATACGCATAATTTTTCAGAAATAGGGGCTAAAAAAAGATGGTAATAGAGGGAGCCGAGAAATGCCGGAGCGTCCGCCTCGCAAACAGTGCTTTCGCCAAACAGTACAAAAGCATGAGCTGGAAATATAATGAGCCGCTCAGGCTAAGCACCGCCCCCCACCTCCCTGGCGCCGCCCTCTTTGAAAAGTTGAAGGGCCTGCCCAAACAGAGTGCGACAAGTAGCTGAATTTTCCGCGAGGTCAGCATAATCGGACTCGCATTGGCTAGTCTAGCCCCGCTCTAGCGTCTAGCCTCGCTCCGGCCTCGTGTCTCGAGCAGCAGCGGGCTACCGGTCTGGAAATAACCATCTGCTGGACACAACTCTACAATTCTATTTACTTGACCAACTCCGCCAGCAAGCAGGCGGCCCCGTGCCGAGCCGTGCCGAGCCGGCCGGCCGAGCTGGCAGGCAGGATGGCGCATCATTCCCAGAGATGAGTTCCCGCTCCCCTCCCCCTCTTTACCTCCGAACCCTTCTCTAACTCCGTTCGTCCCCTTCCGCCCCAGCCCTGGGCTCGCTGGGCTGCCTGGGCTTCGTCCCTTCACTTCCGGTTTGCAAGCATTATCGCCTGATAGATGAGACCGCCGCTTTGTCCCGCACGGCCATTCTCAGTTCCACAGTGCTCCTCGTGTGTGTGTGTGTGTGTGTGTGTGGTGTGTGTGTGTGTGTGTGTGTGTGTGTGTGTGTGTGTGTGTGTGTGTACGCGCGCCATGCGTGTATGAGTGAGTGTGTGTATGCGCACCGGGATATAGCATTCCAGCATCCTCACTGCCTCCGCGCAGCCGGCAGAGAACGTCCTCAAAAGAGCAGAGTGTCCATGAAACGTCACACATCGCGCTCTGAATGCAAAGACCACTCGACGGGGTCGTTTGCTCGGTCCGTGAGGTGCTCCAGCGCGAAACGGGGTCGTCGCGGCGACGAACAGGGGTCTTCGGCGGTCTGGCAGTGCCGCGGTGGTGCAATTAGATGTGTCACTTACCTTTGGATGTGCTCTCCGGGGGAATGCTACTTTGGGGTCAATCTGCAACAGATGAAAAGAGACGAGTCAGAGGAGGAGTCGGCACTCCGTGCAAATATTGTCAGAATGTTAGTTTGAAATCATGATCAAAATTCGCGCACCCCTAAAAGCTGAAATTTTGAAAAGTTACTCTGATTTTTATGGTTTAAGTTGTTCGGAATGTCAGGAAGTGTTTTCAGCTTTCAGAGGTGCGCGAATTTTGATCAGGTTGTCAGACAGGCTTCTGAGATTCTGACAAGATTTACACGAGTGGGGTGCGGGTGCTCCGGAGACGCTCTGTGACGTCATGGCAGCGTTGACGAGTTCCCCTCGCAGCACTCGAGGGATGGACAACCCACTGCGAAGAGGGCAGTTCCCACGATCGCGGCTCGAAGCGCCGGCAGCGCTGCGGTCATTTCAACCCCCCCCCCTCCTCAATTGGTTGTCTAGCTATACTTTCTCGTTGTAAGTTTCTCTACTGACCCGTGAGGCTGGAGTGGCGAGTGCGAGAGAGACGGAGAGAGCACGGTCCGCAACCCAACGAGATCCGTGTATCCGTGTTCAGCGGGGGCGACCCAGACCCGCTCTCGGATCCGCCTCGGGGCCAAGAGTAGAGGGTTTTCGTTTGAAACTTGTGTTTCGCACCTCCTGTGTCTAGAGAGGGAGCCGCTTGCGGACGAAACGAGGGTGGAGAGAGAGAGAGAGAGGAGAGAGAGAGAGAGAGAGAGAGAGAGAGAGAGAAGCAGAAGGAGAGCGAGCGAGCGAAAGCGCCCGCAGAAGCGAGGGTAGGCCACGCGCAGCGCACCCGTGCGTTGGGTTGCCTAGCCCGCAGGCGCTACCGCTGTCTGTCACTGAGCGCGTTTTTCTGGGTTGTTCCTTTCGGCTTCCACGAGCTGAGTGAGTCGCATCCGTTCTCTCTGTGGAGGGGGAGGAGCAAGCACTTTTCGTTTAACACTTTGAGCATCGACTTTCGCGCATCGTCTCAGCGGCGCACCGGTAAAAGTATTCATATCCCATTTTGGATGCAGTCTGATGGTGCTTATTTCGAAAATTCAGAAGCTTTGGGCCTGATACACTGCTGCTGCATTGGCCTGTCCACGGCCAAGTGGCGAGCGCGTCGCCCTTCAGCTTGTTGCTGGATCCAATTCGGGTGATTTGGCAAATCCCACTCGGCGCGCCGGTCAGCAGATCGGGCCAGTGAGGACCCGTGAATGCTGGCCGTACCTAGGCATGAGCCTAAGCCAGAAAGGGGATAGATGGGATAGGAAAAGCAACGGCCGGCGACTCTGCAGATTTGCCTCGATACAGCGAGCGCTGGGCGGCGGAAGAGAGAAGGACTCAAAGACTGGGAGAGCGAGAAAGGGAGGAAAAAAAAATTCGAGTGGCTAAGATGGAACACGAGATGAGCTCATCCGTGAGGGAACGAGTCCTGCAACGCAGTCAGTGAGTGGGCAAGGTCGGAGCGCAGAGCCTCCGACGAGTAGGCTTCAAAATCAACTCGGTGTCAACGGGCGTTCAAGAAAAGTAAGACATTAGTATGACTTTTTTCGGCGAAGTGACAAGGGGTTCGTCCTTGCGCGTGACGCGATGGGACAGCAATTTCCAACCGAGCCACGCCTACTTTTGGTCAGCTCCCTTCTGCCCCTCGACCCGGGGGCGGCCGGGGCGGCCGGGGGCGGCCGGGGGCGGCCGGGGGCGGCCGGGGGCAGTCAGCGACCGGAAACGGGGAAGCACAGCAACGAAAAGAGGTGTCCGGGAAGGGGAGGGGGCGAATGGGCATGAAAGGAAAATGTAAGAGGATAGTAAGACAAGCAGGCGGAGTGGAAGAGCGAGAGAGGGGGGAAGGGGTGAGCTAGGCAGGAAGGTAAATGAGGTGGAGTGAGAGATGAGAGCGGAGAGCGGTGAGGTAATGTGTCAGCGACCCCGCTCCCCGCCCACACCGTCGCACGCAATATGTACCTGCGTACGTTCATATGACGAGGCTCGGTGCGTCGTGGCTGAGGGAGAGGGAGAGAGAGGGGGGGGGGAGGGGTGCTTGCCTGCCGCGCTCCGCACCGCGCCGCACCGCGTCTTTGAGGCTGTCATGCTATTTGAGTTCCGTGCGGTAACGAGTAGGACGGGGACGAATTGTCTCGCTCCGTTTCGTTGCGTTGCGCGCCATCGCCGACTCGCACCATTAAATTATTACCGAACAGGCTCCCAAGGATCCACGGTGCGTGTGGCGAGGCGAAGCGCGAGGCGCGCCTAGCAGGGCCCACACCGTTTCACCGGCCTACCGACTTTGCAAATTTACGTTTAATTTATGATAACAATTTTTTGGAGAACGCCGCGCGGCCGTGTAAGGACCTTATTTTCATTTCCGCCGCCTTCCTCTCCCTCGTCTTCTCCTTCTCTTTCCACATCTTTCACTGCCTTTTTCTCCCTTTTTTGACTCGGTTACTTGCCGCCAGGAGCGGTAGCAAAGCAGCAACGGGCCATAATTTTGATAGCGAAATTGCCGTGCACACGGCTATAGCGGCTTCCTTTGTTTCCCACGGCCTACTACTGGAGGCTCCAGCGTGGGCTCCAGGGGCGGGGCGGTGGAGGGGGGAGACTCTTTCCTTAACTCACTGGTCTAGCCCGACTGGCCCACTTGTTCCCGCAGAAAGGGGCGACGTTCGCCTATTCATTCCCTCTATGATTTATCACACCTTGTGTGGCAGCTCGCGCGGGCGGGGGCGAAAGGAGAGAGAGGAGGTGACGTCGGAGCGAGGCTACTTTACGCAGTAACACACGCCAGGAAAACAATCTTCAAAAAAATCGAGGCCTGCCGCCGAAAAAATATAGAGCCCTGGTCGCTGGAACAGTCCGCATCACCATCCTTTGTCAGGTAAGTAAATCAAAAAGTTTTGGTCCGATGCGTTTTTTTTCTTTTCATTTCAAATTGTTTTATTAAGTGAATATCAAAGTTGAAGAGCTATTCCTCGCTGTCGTCCAGCTTCGGATCGGATGGGGAATCCATCTGGAAGGGGCCTCTGCTTCATGTGGAGGGAGGGGCGCGGCCGGTGCTCGGTTTCGGCGGCCCGGTCAATATGAGCGGCGGTAACGAGCGATTAACAAGGCAGGCAGCGTCTCGCGCCGTTCTTGTGCAGAGACCCCGTTACTCTGCGGTCGTTTCCGTCGCTCTGTCTCTCTCGCACCGACTCGGGGAGCCCCACGAGTGCGAGAGAGACAGCGCGACGAAATCAGTCCGCTGGCTTCGGTCCCAGGGTCCGAGGCCGCGACTGCAGCGGCCGATTGCCACACTGTTGCATTCGAAATGAGCGCGCCTTCCCTCCGCCGCGCCTCCAGCGTCGCTCCGTCTCTCTCGCACCCCTACGGGACGCCCCGCGAGTGCGAGAGAGACAGAGCGAGCGAAGACGCTGAAGTTTGGAATCAGGCTGTGTGCCGCCTCTTGATGTGGGGAGCAGTCACTCTTTTGCTCTTTGTTGGTCTGTGAGAGAGAGAGAGAGAGAGAGAGAGAGAGAGAGAGAGAGAGAGAGAGGGGGGGGAGAGGGAGAGGGAGAGGGGGGGAGAGGGGGTGTACAAACACCGGGCGCTGCGGCGGTGGCAGATTAAAACCCGGTTTTTGCTCCGCCCGTCACGCACTCTTCCTCTCCCCCGGCGGCGCGTGACGGGCTGCCACCTTCCCCGCGCCGAAATGCGAGGCAACGTCCCCGCGACCTTCGCACAGCGCGGCCCCCGCGGCCCCCGCGGCCCCCGCGGCCCCAGGCGGTGCGTAGGGTGGCAGCACTGCGCGCTCGTCCCGCGCAACACCGCGGTAAGCCGATGAGCGCAAGCGGCGCAGAGCGGCCGAGCGCGCAGTCAGGGGTATTGCGTAGAGGGCCGCACAGTGGGCCAGAAGACCGGTGGAGGCGTCCGAAACTCTAGACGCGTTTCGAGCTCCAGAGTCGCTATACAGGACTCGAACCGAACGTGTGACCCCACCAATGGATTGCTCTTCGAATGAGGAATCCATTGGTGGGGTCACACGTTCGGTTCGAGTCCCAGTTAGCGACCGTGGAGCTCAAAACGCGTGTAGAGTTTCGGACGCCTCCACCGGTCTTCTGGCCCACTGTGGGTCGCTCCCGCCGGCGCGCTAGCGACGCCATATCTGACCAACAATTTTCATCTCTCTGATTAGATTTCGGTTTGGCAATTTCTGCGGGCGATCGCTGCTGCGCGCTGCGCGCTACACGCGGCTGGCCCGGCTGGCCCGGCTGCTCGGCCTCGCTTGCCTCCGCTTGCCTCCGCTGACACAGCTGTTGCCCCCTACAAACGGGCGTTCGCTGGGCGCGGCTCGGCGCAGCCCCCCCCCCTCGTTTGCCCCCTTCACAATTACCCCCACTGTGCCCCGGCACCACTAATGAGTTTATTTTTAATTAATCGACGTCAATTTTTTTTTATTGCATCAGTTGCTTTGTGCGTGACGTTCCTGACCTTTTTTTATAACTTTTTTTTTCGCTGTGTGCGCCTGTCCGGCTGCCACTGCTCTGCCGCTTTTTCACGAGACAGCAACGTTTATTGACACCCCACTGGAAAACGCCAGCAGCGCAGCGACAGCGGCGCAGGATCGAAACGAGTTCGAGATTCCGCCGATGCGTCTCATCACTAGCAGGTGTTTGTGCGGTTTGCACTGTTTTTGTGCTTTGCTTTTCAGTTCTGTCACGCCCACTGTGTCCTATTTTCAGCCCTGTGCGCATCGCGTTGACGCTCAAAGAGAGAGAGAGAGTTGACGCTGAAGAGAAAAACTGACTGAGCGGAAGAGAGTCACAGGGAGAGAAAGAGAGAGTGAAAGAGTGAGAGAGGGCGGGAAGGGCAGAGGCAGTCAGAGAGTGAGGCCACACGCCGTTTCAAAGTCATTAGCATTGATCGGGCGGAGGTCCAGGCAGCACCGCTCACCCGGACACCGTCCACCCCTCTCTCTTTCTCTCTCTCTCTCTCTCTCTCTCTCTCTCTCTCTCTCTCTCTCTCTCTCTCCGGAGCCACACCCCACTACCTACGCC